TTTCCCCCCATCCCAAGTTTCTGATTTCTTATCTTTAGTTGTAAGTCTTGCTTACTCTATCAGCCAGTTTGAAGTCTGCTGGTTTTAAGGTCTTGCCAACATGGGATGTGAAAAGAAGTATCATTTAAGTCTGAAGTACTTCAATTAGCAAACTCTGCTGGCTGCTTGTAGAGAAACTGACATTTCATTTGGACTGTTCAGCTATGAGCATTGAAAACTGAGGGTGGGGGGTGGGCTTTTGGTTTGTTCTGGACCTGTGATTACTGGAAGTTTGTTTCTAATTAAGTGGTGGTGTAAGTGTGGTGCCATATTATCACCTTTGAATTTGCAATCAGTGCCGGATTAAGTAAACTGATGTCTTGTGGCCCTAATAAAAGTGACCTTGGGCAGTTCTGCAACTGCAGAGAGATATGTTGCAAATGACAAAGTTTACTGGTGGACAGGTTAACTCCTGCTGTCCAGTAGCATTGTTAAGCATAAGTTTTCAAAAAAGTAGTGTAAGTGATTACAGCATACATGGTCCTTGGCTAATTCTAACCACATTTTGACTGTCATCTAAAAGCTTAAATCATGATATTAATTATTGCAGGTTCAGAATGTGGTAGGATAAGAGAAGACTTCTTTGTGTGTAAGATTTTACTGTCTCTAAATAAAATTTCAGCAGCTTTTGAAGGTTCACGGTACAAAGCTGCATTCCTGTGAAAGCTATCTAGTCTGAGGCAATTGCACAACTTAACCTGTGGACAATTCTGGAAAGGGCAACTGTGCAACACCTTTTGGTGCTTTTTAAACCAAGGGCTGGCTTTCATCACACAGGAGGTACATAGTTCTGCTGTCCTTAATAAAGAACTTTGTGCTGTTCTGAATATAAAAAGTTTGATCAGAAAAATAAATTGTGCCTTTTGTTAACTTCTTCCTGCTTTTTCTTTATTAGTGATCATGAAAGGAGTGTGGCTGACAGCATTGCAGACAGAAGCTCAACTTGTCCACAGAACAGGTGCTGTATACACAACTGCTGTGCAAAGAAATCTTGTGTGTAAACTTCGTACGTGTCAGTCTTGCCTTCCATGGAGGAAGTGAAAAATGTATGCTAGCTGGAAGTAGGAGGAGAGAAGAAACCCTTGCTAATAAAATTATGTATGATGTGAAGCATGACTCTTGCTGTCACTGGGAAGGGTTCAGCATAGGATTCTTACAGATGAGAAAAGCTTGATTAATTTTGTGATACAAAGATAGATGGATGTGATACCTGAATCCCTCCCTTGCTGGCACATGGAAGGAAGCCATCTTAAAAGTCTGAGATGGCTTAGATTTACTTCTCCTTAGTACTGTGAAGCTGACCAGTCATGTTATCTACACACTGTTGCATTTAATAATCTAGATAGTTTTTGCACTGCAGAGGCTTTTAATGTATTATTCACAATGTATGCATGTGAAAATAAGGTATGTTGTGCTGTTGAGCTTGTGGTTCAGTATGCACAGGGTAGCTGAGGGACAGCAGCTGTAGTAACCCTAACTGACTTTCCTAACAGCTGTAACTTGGCCACATGGCAAGCATTAAAGCACAAGTCTATTAGTATGCAATAATGCAAAGCCCAGGGCAGTGAATTTCTAATCTAGCCCCAGGAGTGGAGAAGGATCTTGCCATGCATATTTTCTCCAGAGTGTAGACCACTATGCAAAAGACTTGAAAAGTTGGTTGAGGAGGAATTGCTGTAAGAAAGCAAGGACTGAGTGATTCCAGGGAGCTATTTGTATTTTATTCAAAACTTTAGTCTTGGGTGACTGACCTGGAAAGCAAGTTAAAAAACATGGTATTGGATTGCTCTGACAGTCTGTGTATGCTAGCAGGGTCTTCCACAAAGCAGATTCGTGTCTTTTTAAAAAAAATATAAAGGAAACCCTTGTGGCTCTTTGCCTTCTTTGGAAGCTTCTCTTACAGCTTTTATTGAAGGTGTGTAATCTCTAGCAATTCTTTCAGTGTTAAATAGCCAGTAGTGTAGAGAAGAAGTAAGGGAGTGATGAGAGATTTAAGATGGAAAGGGAGAAAGGAAAGTTGATTCATCTGCTCTCTATTCTCTCCTAGTCTGGTAGAGAGGCACCAATGAAGAACTTCCTGAAATTTTAACCTCCACATTCATGTCAGTACATGCATCATGGCACAGCAAGGAAATGTTGGTGAGCTCCTCTCAATGCTGGATTCTCCAATTCTGGGCGTCCTGGAAGATATAACAGCTGCATTCAAAGATAATCTCATTTGTGGTATGTATCCTTTTAGGTAACTCAAGGAAGGGTTTTGATTTTCTACCAATAGAGGTAGAATAATTTGTATTTTTTTTTCTATAAAACAGAGTCTTTGCAAATGCAGCTTGATAAAAACTCTAGATGTTTGGTTTTGAAATTGCTTTAAGGCTTGAGGCTTCAGTCCATTTTGCTTAATGGGGATGCCTCTTGGAGAGGTCTGTTATATAAGTGTTAAAATGCCATTATAAAATGACTTGCTTTTCCTGGGGCATAACCTCAAGTTATCAAGAGCTGATGAAACTTTCTTTGTCAAGCGTATCTTAGAAAGAATGAGGTGTCATCCACATCATGGAAACTAGTGAGATTTTGTTCATTCTTAAAATAAACAAGGGAAAAAAACCTAACCCCAAACAAAACAACAGACAATTGTTGACAAAATGATTGCTTCTCTTAAGGCATCCTTGATGTTGATAGAGCCTTTTCAGAGCTAGAAAATATAGTTGAGAGGTCTCCTTTTCCTAAAGGTCTGGTAAACATTAAGTACTGGTTTATGTTATAAATTGTGTAACAGTTGTCAAAAAGTTGTGCAACGTCCCTGTAACAAATGCTTCATTTTTAGTGTGTTGAGAATGTTTGTTGTTTTTTTTTTCTTGCTGTGAACCAACGGGCAGACCGTGGGCCTATGCTTGTGAACAACCTGGTGGAGTATTACTTGGAAACCAATTCTCAGCAGGCACTGCATATATTGTCCACACTGCAAGAGCCTCATGACAAGGTAAAAGAGTCTTCTTATTAAGTCTGGCATATTTTAATCTGGTAGTGAAGCAGCCTTTAAACAGCATCTCTTAGAATTCTGGTTGCTTGTCTTTTTTTTTCCATTCTGGTACAGAGTTACCTTGTTGTAGAGATGTAGTGTTCCTGTAGTAAGAGTAAGTTTTGAAAAACTTCAAAGATCTGTGTTTCTTGGATTGCTTAAACTGACCCACCTAGGCACAGAACCTCTGCAAGTGAAAACTTTCTGAGAACTCAGAGGTCTCTTTGCAATGCTGCTGCTGGATGGATGTTCAGTGCTAGATGGGTGAGCCTAAAACCAATTGGGTATTTTGAGAGCAAGGAAGGACTTTTAAATGGAGGGAGAGAATGGCACTACAATTTATTTGGTTTCTGCTAACCAAAACTGTTTTATTATTTATTTATGATAAACATTTTGAAGTGCAGTGGCTGCTTCTGGACTGAATAGCTTGCATTTCAAATTTATTGCAGGATTTTATTTGCCCTGTGTATTTTTAAAATGCCCTGTTTCCATAATTGGCAGCGGCAAACTGCTGAATATAAATTGTTGAAAAAGAATACATACCAGTTAAATATAAATGTTTCCTTTTTCTACCACTCTTTGCAAAATCCTCTCTCAGCATCTACTGGATAAAATTAATGAATACATGGGCAAAGCTGCTACCCGTTTACCCACCCTCTCGCTGCTGGGACATGTGATAAGACGACAACCATCTTGGAAACATAAGCTTTCTCAAGCACCTCTTCTACTTTCATTACTTAAATGTCTCAAGGTAGGAAGTGTCAGTCATATTTTTAATGCAAGGTGTTTGTTTTCTGTTGGGGTGTCATTTAGCTAAGCTGTGAGAAGAGAGAAAATGTTGATTAAAATACCGAGCCACGGTGGAATGAATCAACTCAATATTCTGAGCTGATCCTGTTATTACTGACAATCTTGTTTCCAGAGGCCACTGTCACTGTATAACTTTGAGTTAGTCAAGTTTACAAAACTTTTCTAAAAGTAAGGTAAAGGCAGAAGGCCTTTGTGAGGTTGATGGACATCACCAATGTGAACTTAAGGAGAAATACTGCAACTTCCCTTTAGTGCCTTCTGAAATTTGTGCATGTAAGGTAATATCATCTCCTTGCACTGTAGATGGGCCATGTGATAGACTACTCCATGGTGAAATTACCTTGAAATTAGCAGACTTTCCCTTCCTAGGTACAGATGTGTTGTAGCTGTTTCCCTGTGCTTTGTTGGTTCTTTTTTCTCCATCTACAAATGTCTCAATTATTATCCTGTATGGTATTGTAACAGTGAGTAAGGAGTGAAAAGTGTTTTGAGACCTAGGACATGTTCTCAGTAATATAATTTAATAGGACAGTGAAGAATTTTTATTCATTCAAGTCACATTAAAATGCATAATATAGTCAAGCACCAGTTCTCTTCATAACAAAAGCAAGGAATTTGTAACTGCCAAAGAGGAAGCTACAAGTGCTTTTCCTGGAACTCCTGATGTGCCTGATGAGTTCTGTTACTCTTTTCAGTGTGAGCCTTATCTGATGGTGAGAGTGTGTCAGAGAGCTGGTGGGAGTAGAACAGAGATGTGGAAGTGCCAGAAATGTGTACAGAGGGATAGGGGTGGACTTGAAATGTGCTGTGAGAGGTCATGTCTGACTGAGGGAGAACAGAGGCCATAAATTACACTGGGGAAGGAAAATCCAGAACACTTAATATGTCTAATCAGTTCAAGTGGCTCTTGGGGGAGATAGCAAGACCAGCTTAGGGGGTTCTGGCCACAGGCTTGCCTGTGATGTTTACACCCCTATCCTCACAAAGCAGAGAATTTAGCAAGGAAAATATACAATTAAGCTGAGGAAGCAAGCAGGGACCCCACTGGGAAAGAGATGGGAGATTTTCTTTGCCCTGTCCTAAAATCTGAGTCTGCATTACTGTTTCATCTAGCAAAGGATTTTTACTGCTACTTACACCTTTATCTGTGTGTGAGTCACAGGGTCTTAGTTATGGTTTGAATTACTGCTTTAGGAAACAGCTGCTGGAGTCATCAACCAGGTTTAGTAGAAAAGCTTTGACCCTTGTGTTGGTAATTGGCCAACATCCTTGAATAGCCTGATCAGATTTGCAGTTTCTTAGGCTCAGAATGATGTGTGTGCAAAGCTCTGGGAAGGAGGAAAGAGGATACAGAAGCTGCTTCACATACCAGTGATTTAATTTTTTTCCTACCCAATCGTGGAACTTTAGTGATGTTCCCTTTTAACTAAGTCAAGGCTGAATACAGAAAAACAGCAGAATAGGAGCAAGAATCCCAAATCTTTTTTCTTAGAGTTGCTCTGGATGAAAGACACAATCATCTCTGTTCATTAAGTCATGGTAGGTTTCAGAAGGAATGTTTCAAAGTAGAGAACTTTTTCCATGATGATGATTCAATGTTCACTTCATCCCTGGAAAAAAAAAAATACATAAAAGTTCAGCTCTTTTTAACTGACTAATGCAGGTTTTTTCCCTTCTTGCAGACTGACACAGATGTAGTAGTACTCACCACAGGTGTCCTAGTGCTAATAACCATGTTGCCAATGATTCCTCAGTCTGGCAAACAGTATCTTCATGATTTCTTTGGTATCTTTGGGCGTCTCTCAGCCTGGTGCTTGCAGAATCCAGGTGAGATTTCAACTTTGTTGCATGCAGTTATGGTTTAGTAATCAAACCCTTGTGAAGTTGAGCACATTCTTTTGCCTAAGACTAAATGCAGGAAATGATGCATTAAGCCCACAAGCTGTTCTGTTCTTTGATAGCATCGGGGAGTGCTTATTTGTTCAACATTTTGAAGTCTCTTAGATTCTGCCATGTGGTGGTGCTACTATATGAGGGTTCACTGGACTGAAATGCCCCCCTGATGAAAGCAAGAAGCAGAGCTTGATCTTAATGGATAGAGAAGGGAAAACGCTGACATTTGAGTCAGTTTTTTGGGAAATTGAGATTCCAGGTATAAATGGGGAGGGGGAAGGAGCAACATGTAGGAGTTCCTGTTAATGTGCAACTATCAATAGTCATGCAAGTGTTGGTAAGACGAATCCTCTCAGTTGCAGCTCTGGTTCTGCTGAATTGGTTTTGCTGAATTTGGTTCAGAGTGTCTGGTATCTAACACCAGTGTTCTCTGTGTGTATGTGTCTCGTGGCTGTATGAACAAATGCTGTGTTAAGCACATAGAGATGGTATTTCAAGGGCTGTTTTGCATTGCAAGTAGGATTGGAACTTAGATGACTAGCAAGGCTGATCTGTCACAATTGGTTTTGTGGATACAACTTTTAGTTTTTTTCTGTGAAGTGAAGCAAACTTCAAAAAAAGGGGGGTAGTAAGGTGCTGGAATAGGTTGCCCAGGGAGGTTGTGGAAGCCCCATCCCTGGAGGTGTTCAAGGCCTGGTTGGGTGAGGCTCATAGCAGGGAGTTTGGAACCAAATGATCTTTAGGGTTCCTTCTAACATTCTGTGATTCTAAATCTTAGTCTTTTTTATTCATTCAGTCTTGCAGACTGGCTCTTTATCTAGAGGGATTTCAGGTTTGAACTTGAATAAAAAAACACTGTGCTTTGAGAGTGACAGGGTACTGGTTGGAATGGTCTATCAGAATTTTTGGCTTTGCTGTGAGCTGATGAGTAAGTGTTGTCTGTCCCCTCAGAAGATTTCACAGTTTTTCTGAGGACTACTCATATCTCCAAAGACTTGTTCCAGTTAACATTTCAAATTTAAAAGTGCTTTGCATTCTTTTAAGTGTTGTTGTTTTTTACACTGTAATTAAAAATATTCTAACTGCTTTTCCCAGGTCATGTGGCAGAGATTTACCTTGTCCATCTTCATGCCAGTGTTTATGCTCTTTTTCATCGTCTCTATGGAATGTATCCTTGCAATTTTGTCTCCTTTCTGCGTTCTCACTACAGTATGAAGGAAAACTTGGGGACCTTTGAAGAGGTGGTCAAGGTAAAATGCTGCTCATCTCTGTATTCTCTGAGACAAGGAATTCCTAGCTGTATAAAGGCAGGTGTTTGCCATTTTAACAGGATACATTGATTTAACTGAGGGCTGCTCAACAAAAGGGAATCAAACCAGGCTATTGGAGGACTGAAATGTCAGTTGGGAGCATGGTCATCTCTTGAAGCTGTGATGATTTAGATTTATCTGTTAAATGTAACATTCTGAACTGTTGGGATCAGTAGGTTGCTCGTCAGCTTTGTGTAGTGTAGAGCAATCAAAACATGCTGTACTGATAATAAATACTTCTTCTTGCTCATCCAGCCAATGATGGAACATGTGCGAATTCATCCAGAATTAGTGACTGGATCTAAGGACCATGAACTGGACCCACGAAGGTATATATGTTCACTCTGCTATTAGGAAAGGCTGTACATGAGCAGCTTTTAGCTGGGTTATTTTAGAAGGCTTACAGCAAAATCTTTTCTGTCAGCAATAGTGTGTGCCAGTGGTGTTTTGCCACCTGTAGTCATAGGTACACCAGGTAAACATGTAGACTTTGTTTATCCAAGCTTACAGCTGGATGAATAACAAAAAACAACAATGTGAAAGGCCATTAACAACAACATTGGGTTCTAAGTTCATTTTGTGTTTGGGATGGAGTCTATCTTCTACTTAACAGTTGACTTTGTCCTAATTTTATCACTTAACAATCAAACATCTGCATAAAGTTCTGAAAGAATTTGCTTATAATGAATAAAGAGAAACTACTGCTGACCTGCTTCATTGGCTTAAGGTTTGGGTCATGTTTTTTTTTGGTTTGTTGAATTATTTGGTAGGATTTAAGTGTTTATGGCCTCAGTCTGTCTTGTTTTGGTACCTAGATATTGGTTCAGTTAACAGATCAATTCTTTTAACAGGTATGTCTTAACATTATCAGTTGTATTAGTTCTCTTTAGAAATAGGCTCATTTGCCTGCAGCAGCACCACTTGCTGCTTTTCTCTTGTCTCCACAGGCCCAGCCACTGAAGAGGAGAAATTGACTCTTGTTGCTGCACAGTAGTGCTCTTGCCCTGCTTTTCAGAAAACACTCCTAAATGGGAACCTTTTGAATATCACAGTGCTCAGTTTTGCAGGCTTCTCCCAGGCAGGGGGGAGGGTGGCACCACTAAGGAGTGCACTTGGCACAAAACTACCGGTTGAAGCCTTCTGATTTGGTATCTTGCACATAATATCTTACATTCAGAAGCAACTCAGCCTTTAATAGACAGAATTCTGTGCTTTCTCTTCTTCACAGTGAACTTCTGTCCCCTGCAATATTGGGTAGATCTAATCTGGCTGCTTAATTTAGTGAGAAAATGTTTTCAGAATGAAGGAGGTAGTAATAATTAAAACCATTCTGAAAACTAGGGAGGAAAAATGCAGATCTGAAACTGGCATTGCAGATGCAGCTTGCTTAAATAATGTAGGATTCCCTCACTGATAGTCTGTACGTCTAAATTTTGACTACCAACTTCTGAGTCTAGTTGAGCTGATTTCTACAGCTGCTGAAGCTCAGGATCAACCAAGTCTTCGTGTGCTCTTCCTCCTTTCCAGAGTGCTCCATGGCAGACCGTTGTGGATCTCTGTGTCAAAGCTGTTTGTCTCCTCTCTGAGACCCCCTCTTACAAGTCATCTGGTTGCAATTTCTGTCTGATGCCTTGTTCCAGTGTTGGCTGGGAGCATGCAAAGCTGTCTGGAACAAATGAGCCACCCTACAAGCCAATTCTTCCTATCTCCAGGAACTCTTTCTTTGTAACAATAATTGACTAACTTAATCTTTTGGATCCAAAAACTGTCTGCAGGTGGAAAAGACTAGAAACTCATGATGTTGTGATAGAATGTGCCAAAATCTCCCTGGACCCTGCAGAAGCCTCCTATGAAGATGGTTATTACTCTGTGTCTCGGAAACTCTGCACAAGCTTAAAACATCATCAAACTGACCCCAGTTCCAGCTGTTACATTGACACACAGGGCAGCTATGGTAAGATGTGCCTGATGGCTAATGACTACTCATTTCCTGGAGGAAAACTGGCCCTCCAGCAATAAGGCATCTTGCTAATTTATCCCACTTAAAGTGCCATTCTTAGGCACCAGAAAATAAGCTGTCATTTAAACAACAACAAAAAAGAAATATATGGATACATGCTCTGGTTGTACAGGGAATGCAGCGTGTTGGCCAAGTTTCCTTTTGACTGTCTCTTCCTCCCCTGTTGTCCTCCCCCAAAACCAACCAAACAAACCCACAAAAAAAGCACTGTAGTATGCTCTTTATATTGAAAAGATATTTTCTTGGTCTGGAGAAAGATTATCTTGTTTGCTAGCTATGACTATGAATGTTGAATGGATGTGAAATGGTTTGGTTAAAAGCCTTGAAAAACTAACCAGAAGAATCATTGATTTGTATTTGATATATAGGATACTTCTTCATTTTATCTTTTTTTTTTTTTTTAACTTTCAGGGACTTCCACCCCCTATTCCACTCCTCGTCTAACACTATCACAAATGTCAGGGCAGCTACCTCAAATTCTGAGCCCACAGGCCATGCAGCTGTCAGCTGAGCCACAGCAGGTAAAGCAGAAGATAAATCATAGAATCACAGACTGGTTTGAGTTGGAAGGGACCTTAAAGTTCCTCTAGTTCCAGACCCCCTGCATAGGCAGGAACACCTCCCACTAGACCAGGTTACTCCAAGCCCATCCAACCTGCCCTTGAACACTTCCAGGGATGGAGCAGCCACAGCTTCCCTGGGCAACCTGTTCCAGTGTCTCACCACCCTCACACTGAAGAATTTCCTCCTAATGTCTCACCTAAATCTCCCCTCTTCCAGTTTAAGACCATTACCCCTTGTCCTCTCACTACAGAAACAAGCACAGCATGCTTTTCATGCCTTGCACTTAGCTTGTAGTTTCTCATGACAATCTAAAATATTTTTTCTGAAATGTCTTGTGAGTTTTCAGAACTTAGTGTATGTTTCAGATTTAATTCCCACCTGATTTTCTATGTCAGAACTGGGATACAGATGCTTCACATGTTCCTTCTCTTAATTTCACTGATTGGTGTTTACTGTGTATTATTGCTTTTACACAGGTTACCATCTGGAGTCCTTCTGCAGTTTGTGGTATGACCACTCCACCCACCTCTCCTGGAATTGTCCCATCAGAGTCATCCCAGTCTGCATCACAACCTTACAGCAAAGCTTTTGGCACATCTGGTATGTGCTGAATTTTAAAGTTAGGCCTTCGAGGTTTATTATAATAGAAATTCTGGCTGTACATTTTGCTGTCATCTTCTTAAATGGGAATGTCACACCAGGCCGTTTGATGGGCTTAAATTGTTATTCCTGGGAACCTGATCATCCAGAGCAGTGCTAATGCAAGCACTGAGGTAGGAAGTAAGTCACAGGGAATGAAGTAGCAGGGTCTGGAACCAGCCTTGTGGAAACTGCAGTTGTCTCTTGGTAAATAGTTGAAGGAGATTTAAAAATAAATGGTTGAGATTGCATGTGAAGAATTACATATCTAAACACTATGTTCAGCTGAAATAAGGAAGCCTTCCTGAGAAAACTTTTGTACTTCCTCTTTTCAGGAGGAGGGAAAGGAACACCTCTGGGAACACCAGCCACATCTCCTCCACCCTGCACTTCAGATGACTTTGTGCATGTTTCACTCCCTTCAGCTGCTCCCACGCCTCCTAAAAAGGTATAACAAAACTCTCTACCACACAAAGCTGACTTTTTTTTCTTTCATTAACTTGTCACACACGCAGTGACCATAACTGAGAAGGAAAATCAGAGTAACTTACAAAAATGTTGCATTTTATTGCCAAGAAAAAATTTTCTTCTAAACTTTGACAACTGTTGCCATTTCCAGTGGCAGGATTTTAAGTCTTACAGTCGATTTGCTATTTAAGCCATCTGCTTGTGGGAACTTCCTTCCTATGAAACTGCCCAAGACGTTTCATTCTAACAGGTATCTGATGCAGAAAATCTATTTTTTTAATTTATTTTGTTGGGTTTTTTTCAGGAGGACAAACCAGACCTTGGGAGGCCTTTACTGTACCGACAGCAAAATGTCATTAACAGCGATAAATCATTGGGTAAACTCTTGTTTTCCTCTCCCCATTACAATAACCTTTTGTAAACAAATCCTGGTTTTATTGACACCTGTTTCAATTGCCAAACACCTTTTCCACAGGTTTTTCTCCTTCTTTTTTTTTCCCTGAGTTCATAGTTCCAGGATCCTGCCTGAATTTGTGATTCAACTTAAAACCTTCTTGTGATGCTTTTGATTTCATTTTAACTATTGACCTTCAGAAACAGCTTGCAGATTTTTTTAAACTGGCCCTTATTCATACTTGAGCATGTTGAAATATAGAAATTTACAATGAAGACTGAAAAAGGAATTGTGGTTGTTTTTTTTTAAAGCTGATGCTTTGGGGGTGAATTTTTTTGTTAGAAGCAGCAAGTTATATATGAAGTTTTAATTGAGCAGTTTTATGTCACCTGTCTGGATCAAACTGTAAGGCTGCACATAAGGATAGATATGATGCTCCCTTTTAAAGGCTCTTGGAAAAACTTTTTCTATCTACCATTATACTGCTGTACTTGAACCTTTTTTAAAGTCTTATGGAATATTGAAATCACCAATGGATGGTTGAGGAACTCAACTTCTAATAGGTAAATCTAGATTCCATTTTCCATTCTCAGTCATCTGCATCTGTGACAGCTGTAGAAAGGGGTTTTGGCAATGTTTTTGAGACTTCTGTACTGTGAATCATCACCATCCTCAAGGTGGAAATGATAGTGAAATTTAAAGCTGGTTTTCCTTGCTAAAGTTGTGTAGAAACACTGGAATCTGAACTTTCTGAGTGACAAGAACAGGCAAGGTTTTTCACTAGGTTCTTAATCTGTGAGTGAGCTGCAAGCATGAGGTCTGTATCCTGCATGCTTTAGTGTGTATCTCCCTGGCAGCTGTCTCAGAGTTTTGATCAGTAGTCACATATTGTCAAGTTTGTATTACACCAGTTGGCTAAACTTCCTTTTTTTTCTTTTTGGGGTAAGTACTGTGTCCTTGTATAGCCAGATCAGAAGGGGACTTTATTGCTAACGTGGAAGTAACAATAATCAGTCTACACTTAAGCCACTTTTATTTGTTGATTTAATGGGTTCAGTTGCAAACAACACATCCTTATTCATAAAGGTTGGCACCTGCACAAATGTTAAGTTTACAAAACGACATTTTTGGGATCAGGACCAACCAGTGACTGATCTCTGAGCTGGAAAGAAGCAGAGGTCAGGTAGCTTCCTCCCTGAAGGAAGGACAAGCTTATTTGATGGCCTTTTCAGCAGTAAGCTGCTTCTGTTTTGTGCTGTGATGATGCTGGAGAAAACAGCTGCTGTACAACTAACTCTTTTTTTCTCTTCTTTTCTTCAGACACACCTGGTAGTAAAAGTTCAGTAACCTTAAGTGATCTTCCGGAGTTTTTAGGTGGTTTGTCTTTTGAAGATAGTGCTGAAAAGGACAGGGAGGAAGGTAATTTCTGTCATCCTTTTGTACATCTTAGCTAAGGAAGTATTTGCAATGGCAAAACCCAAGATACATAATGATGCTCCCCCCTCCCCTCCTTCCCAGATGCAATATCTAAAGAGATCTCTGAGATCACAACTGATGCTGAACCCGTGGTGCCTAGAGGAGGATTTGACTCTCCATTTTATCGCACAAACGAAAGTCTGTCAGGCTCTCAAAAGAAGACCCATTCAGTAGTGTCTGGTGTTCAGGGACACAGTCAGACCTCTGAGCCTTTAACGTCTTCTCTGGACAAGCCTGGGCCTGAGAGCGCACGGGAAACACCCAAACAAACATTTACTCCCATAGACAAGCCCTGTGGAGGCTCTGGTGAAAGCCCTGCTGGTAACAGGGAAGGAACCTCTGGGGAGACAAGTATTCTCACTCCCAGCCCTTGCAAAGTACCAGCACAAAGAAGAGTGGGGTTTGGGAGTGGGCAGCCTCCCCTCTACGAGCACCTTTTTGAGGTTGCATTACCAAAGACTGCCTACCTCTTTGTTGGCAAGAAGACTGAGGAGCTGCTAAAGAAAGCCAAGGGAACCCAGGATGATGACTGCATGTCCTCTACTTCTCCTGTGGAAGTACTGGACAGACTGATACAGCAAGGAGCAGATGCACACACGAAGGAGCTGAACAAGTAGGTGACTGAAAATCTTCCATGGCAAACATCCTTGTTACTCCTCTCTGTGCTGGCTTCATGTTAATAGCTGTGCCTGGAAAGCAGCCCTGTCTGGGAATCTGCAGTGAAACCATGTTCTGTGAAACATTGCTGTTAACTGAGCTGAGGGTTCTGGGTGGTGGATTTCTGTGTTTGCTGTGGTGCTGTGCTTTGGTATCAAAGAAAAAAAAGGGCAGTGACCTTATTTACTGCCTTCACTAACGGAGTTTGGGGTGAAGCAGCAGGGCTGTGAGCTGTGCTGCAAGTGTGAGTTTGGTCCCTCTGTCAGTGAGATTTGGTTACTTCCTCAGGTTTAAGTCCCACACTAAATATTCAAAAGCAAATGTAGAGGCCAAGGGGAGATTGGACACTTTCTTCTTTCTAATATACATGAAGCTGAGGACTGGAGAACCAGCTTCAAGGTTTAGGTGTATCTGCTGTATTCCTTATTTTTGTCTTACCACCCTGTATTCCATTTTGTCCTTAGGCTGCTTTCTGTGCCTGAGGGAATTTTTCTCCAACTTCTAAGAAATAATGCCCTCCACCCTCTGCCCTTGCAGCCTGCTTCTTGCATGGTTCCTCATTCTTTTCATACCAACTGACTGTAATTGGACTTTTATTAGTATTTAAGCTCCTTTGAGGTAGACATTTCATTTTAAAGTAACTTGCTGAGTGGTTTTATATTTAAACTTACTGGTTAATGCTTTATTTTAATTTTTCAGATTGTCTCTGCCAAGCAAATCTGCTGACTGGACTCACTTTGGAGGTGAGGAAGTTTCTCATGTGTTTGGCAATCTGTTCCCCTATTGTTAGATTTGCTTAAACAATGACCTGCTTTTTTTTTTTTAAACTGATGGTGCCTTCCATTAAGTCATGGTTTATCTGCTTAGCAGGAAGTGCTCCAGTGAGATGAGCTGCTTTTTTTCACCTTTGAAAAATGAAAACTGCCTTTTCCACAGGCAGTGAGTTCTAGATGTTTCTGCTTTTGACCATTTCAGATCTGCCAGCCTTCAGAGTGATGTTGATCATCTAACAGATCCTTCCACCTTGTCAATCTTATTTGAATCTAAATCTGTTGATGGATTCCTTGCTGCTTCACATGTGTCATAGCTTTGTGTTCTTAGGGTTCTATGATAATGGTGAGCTTGGCTTTTTTTTCCCCAATTGAAGGAGCAATCCATGTGAAGCATAAACATGTTGTTCTGGGGAAAACCTATAAAATGTCATGTTGGAGATCAGGTGGAGCAGACGGGTTCCGAAGTTGTCATTTTGACGAAGTCTGATTTCCTTGTTTTAGAGAACATTTCCCACCTGTGGGGCAGGGACAGTACAGTTGAGGAATCTCTTCTGTCTTCTAACTCCCAATCCAGGTTCTCCCCCTTCAGATGAGATTCACACCCTACGTAACCAGCTGCTGTTGCTGCACAACCAGCTGCTGTACGAGCGCTTCAAGAGGCAGCAGCACGCTCTGCGGAACCGCCGGCTTTTGCGGAAAGTGGTGAAAGCAACAGCTCTGGAGGAGCACAATGCTGCCATGGTGAGCAGGGATGCAGCTCTAGCAATGATTGCAGCACGCTGCTCTTAGAACAAGCATTAGTTAGTTTGGCCAGCATCTTTCAGTACCACTCAGTTGAAAAAGAAGCCTCATTTCTCGCCTTAAAGTCAGACTTGTGGGCGAATTCCGTAGTTTCTATTTGAGTTGCAGGCAACTGAAGGGGTGGATGCCTGCCTGCTTGACTCCTGCCAGCACTTACCTTGGGGTAATATTAAAGGCTTCAGAGTTAGTGGAGAATTTACTTAGTGCCTGGCTAGACACCTTATTGCACTATTTGGAGAAGTCTTGTCCTTTTTTCCACTCCTCAACTGAGGAGTAATAACAAAAGCTTTGAGACCTCCAATGTTCTTTTTCAGAGCTATATGATACATTAAGTGTACTGCAGGATGACTTACTACAGATTTAGGCAGGTTTCATTCTGTGTTTACATATTATATACTTCCATCTACAGTTTAACCTTTTGATAATTCAGCAGAAGAGCCAAAAGTAGCTATCCAAATTGATTTTATAAAAACAACTGTAGCTTCAGCTGTGAAGCCCAAGTCCTCATTGAAAGCCTGAAGTGCATTGGGAAAATCTGCTGTTGCTGTGAGTTTGGATGTGACTTCAAGTTTTCAGCCTGTCCATTCTATCACCATTTAATCTCTTTTTCAGCCAAATAACCAAGCCCCAAATCCTTACAGACTCTCTTGTCTATGGAACAGTGTGATGTGTGCATGCTGGTACCTGGCAGCTTTACGGACCTAGTGACGTAGGACAGATATTCTGACTGATAAAGCAGGTGTCTTGTCTGATGTTTCATGTGGTGTTCTTAACAGAAAGATCAGCTGAAACTACAGGAAAAAGAAATCCAGGCCTTGAAACTGAGTCTTCAGAAAGAACAGGCAAGGTACCACCAGTTTCAGGAGGAACATGAAAACATTGTAGCTCAGCTTCACAACCAGATCAGACAGCTGCAGCACGACCGGGAGGAATTCTACAACCAGAGCCAGGAATTGCAGGTATGAAGCACAACACTGAACCAAATTATCTACTTACTGGCTTTAAAAATAACCTTCCTAGTAACATGGCATGAAATAGCTAAGAGAAAGTTACATATTTCTATTAGAGATCATGTCCTAAGGTTGAGTAAGTCCATATTTGGAAATGCCTGGCGTAGTCATGGTCCTTTTATAATTCTGTTTTGTTCAGTTCGAAAATAAGAAAATGCAGTTTCTTAGCTGGTTTTGGGGCTTCACAAGTACCCAGTATAATCCAGCCAGATGCCATTGCTAGTCCTTATTAAAGTTTCACAACCTCAAGTGAGGCCTTTTTTTGTTGCTGTTTGAGCAGACCAAGCTGGAAGACTGCCGGAATATGATTGCAGATCTGAGGTTAGAATTAAAGAAGGCTAACAACAAGGTGTGTCACACTGAATTGCTGCTTAGCCAAGTTTCTCAAAAGGTAAGTGAAGTTACTGTTCCCAGGGTCCCTTTGCATCTTTTGGTTTATTTCTTCTGATAGTTTGTATCAAGTATCTTTTCGTGTTCTAAAAAAACCCTGTGGTTAGTTCCATAGGATCTGATAATAATTGCACAAAAACAACACAGAGAAATGTGTTTTGGTGAAGAAAGTTTAAACTTGATTCAAAGGCTCCTGAAACTTGTAATTTTGGCTGCTTTTTCCACAGTAGGAATTGGCAGATTGAGCAATATGAATTTGTGTTAAGGCTCTGCTGAATCTTGGTATCTTAGAGATATTGTTTGTATCAGAAGTTGAATGAACTTCTCATGTAAGTGGAAACATAGTTATGTGAAGGGAAACAATACCTGTATGGTGAAGTTCTGTGTGGGCTATCACCAGCACTATGAAAGCTAATTTATTTAACACCTGCCTATCATACATTGGATTCTTGTCTTTGTCTCCCTTTATGAAAGTACCCTGTGAACACAGTGGCTGTCAGCTGTGGCTCTCTTGCAGAACTGTTCATTCCAGTGTTTGATTCTGTTCCATTTCTCTTTCAAGCTTTCCAACAGTGAATCAGTGCAACAACAGATGGAGTTCTTGAACAGGCAGCTTCTGGTTCTTGGAGAGGTCAACGAGTTGTACCTGGAGCAGCTGCAGCACAAGCACACAGACACTACAAAGGTGTGATCACAGGCTTGCAGACATCACTTGAGGTCATCTTTAAGCTCTCAGCCTTGTGTTCAGAATGAAGGAAATGCTTCATAACTTAGCAGAGAGTTTATTTGAAATTGACTTTCAGGGATTGGATTTCATAGTAAATCTTCTGTTTGGATATTTTTGCGCACCATGTGGTTACGGAATCTCTCCAGTACCCTGTGCTTGAAAGCTAAGAAGGGGATGATAGAGTACACCTGGGGTCAGCTTTAGCCACTTGACATAATATCTTAACAATTTTTTCATGCTAAAGACCAAAAGTTTACTGTGCTCTTAATATAACTGGCAGCAGAGTATTATAAGTAAAGTAACACTGGGCTCTGATCTTTGTGAAACTGTGTAACATAGGGTAGTACTGCTAGAGTGTGTAGAAAGATCTGAACCAGGGTTTTACCTGGTTTTGTCATGTGCTCTTTTAAAATAAGCAGCTTTACTCCTCTCACTCAGATGTTTTCCTATTAGGAGCCAGTGTTAACTTTACTAAAACTTGTATGGTTCATATGGTTTTACTTCCTGACTTCAGATAAACCTTTTTTTAATCAAAAGGAAGTAAATGGCACAACAGTGTAACTGTATCTGCGTGAGAGCAAGTAATTAAAGAAGGTCAATAATAAGCCAAACCAAAAAAAAAAAATACATTTTACTGGTATTTAATGAAGGTCATGTTGCAAAAACTGTTTTAAAATTGAGTTTGTCTATCCTAATCTGGTGCAGAACTGGCAAGCTGCTTTGTTGAAAAGAGCTTTTCATAAGGAACATTGTGTTAATAAATTCCAGTGATGTACAGTTATTTTTCACAGCAACTTAATAGTGTACATGCTCAGACTATCTGGTAGCCTATGTGTCTTTTTAGAAATGCTTTTTTTTATTCCATCTTGCTTAAAAATGGGCCTATTTATAGCATGGGAAACACATCTAAATATTAATAAAAATAACACACCATCAAATGATACTCAAACATTGTGTTCTTTCCTTTGAGGAGGTTGAAATGTTGCACGCTGCTTTTCGGAAAGAACTGGAGAAAGCAAAACTGTGTGTCCAACAGCAAAGCCAAAGGCTTGATGCTTCCCAGAAACGGATAGCTGAACTGGAATCTCAGCTTGCTAAGAAGGACCACCTCTTCCTGGAGCAAAAGAAATACCTGGAAGATGTCAAAATCCAAGCAAGGTAAGAGTTTCAGGTGTAAAATTTTAGCTGTGCATTGGCAGCTGCACTGCCATGGTTGAGGCAGAATCCAGAGACACTGGACCTGATGTGTTTTAATTTCTTTGTCTGTCCAGAGGTCAGCTGCAAGCAGTAGAAAGTAGGTACAAGGCCCAGAAAAGAATCACACAGGCATTTGAGCTGGAGATCTTGGATCTGTTTGGGCGGCTGGAGAAGAGCAGCCTGCTGAAAAAACTTGAAGATGAGAAAACAGAAGCAGCTGAAGCAGCAGAAGAAAGGTAAGGGTGGGGATGTAAAAGATGCTGGAATCATGACCAGCTCTTTCAAAGTCGATATCCTCATGGAATCTGAGCACTTGGATGCATCATCTCCAAATATTTGTTTGTACTCCCCCTTTACAGACTGAATCTATCTCAGGACTCTGCATAGGGTTCCTGAGAGCCTTTGACAGAACTGGAAGTGCTCATGAAATACCTTTCAGATGGCTGAACTGAGAAACCTCTAGTCTCATAGACCTGTCTCTTGAATCTGCAAATAGTTACACTGTCATTATGTAGTTGCTTTACTTTGTCTATGCAGAGTGTCCCTAGTAGTTCGGTACCTTCCTGCAGATAATCCTGTTTGTTTTCTGCACCAAAATCTGCTTACAGCCTCAGGAGACCTCGTGCTGCCAGCAGGTTTGTGGCAATCACCCGTGCTTGGGTTTGGTGAAAGAAAGATCTGCAATCTAAGGAAGATGTGCAGGTCTCTACCTTAAGAGATCAGGATGCAGTTCCATTCTGCTTTGGGATTATTGTCAGCTTTGGATTTAAAACAGTGGATGCTGAAAAGCTGAGTGTGTGACACCTTTCTCTTGTCCTCTGTCAGTTCTGCTTTGCTACAAAACTGTGAAAGGAAAAATGTTCAATTCCATATGCATTAGCAGAAATGGAAAGTAATCAAAGTACCCTGCCTTTCCCAGCATTTCTCTTTCCACTGTAAACAGTTGCTGCCATTTCTTTGACACTGTATCCTCTCTCTGCCTCCAAAACAGGCTGGATTGTTGTAATGAAGATACTGTGGCTGGATATAGTGAAGAAACAATTGGTAGAAATGGAGAGACCAAACCTCCCAGCACTCGAGGTAGCAGTAGCAGTAAGGGTGGTAGCAGCAGTGAGCTCTCCACCCCAGAAAAACCCCAGAACCAGAGATTCAGCAGTCGCTGGGAAACATCCGTGTTGCTGGAGCCCTCGACTACTGTCCCACTGACTGTAGGTTCACTCCCCAGCTCCAAGAGCTTCCTTGGAATGAAGGCACGAGAATTATTTCGCAACAAGAGCGAGAGCCAGTGTGATGAGGAGGGTGTGACCATCAACAGGCTTTCTGATGCTGGAAAGACTGAACTATGTAAAGATCCAAGCATGGAGACAAAGGCCCCTACAAGCCCCGACCACCTTAGCCTGTCGCCTAAGCTGCAGGAAAGCAGTGTTGGACAGCTTCATATCATGGACTACAATGAAACTCATCATGACCACAGTTAAAACGGAAGAGAGTCAATCAGTGTTATTTTCATATTCTTGGCATAGAACAGGAGGTGTGAATGCAAGTTTAACTAAAAGCTTTTCTGTTCCTTTGGTCTGAGCAGCTAGCTCATGCAGCGGAGTAGGATTGATGTCCAGAATGGAAGAAGGCTGCTGAATGAATGCTAAGTGGATTTTTGGGTCTGGAATTGAAACACCCAGCCTAACTCCAGCTTCTTTCTCCAATTCAGTCCTTAGCAGCGTGTACTAATTTGAAGGGACAACTGTTAGCATTTGCAAGTATTTTTTTCCCTTTCTCCCTGTCCCCAGTGAGTGGCTGCATTGATGAACTTGAGTGCAATATGAGGCCAAATTAACATTTGTGAGTCTACTACGAAATGCTTTGTATTTCCTTGCAAGCTTCCAATTTAGAGCAGTTAATTGTGCTGCCTGTCCGGGTGACTTTGGTTGCTTTCATCCTGGAAAGAAGCAGCACTAGAATTTCTAGTGCATTCATCTAAAGGTCTCTTATTTTGCCTGTCCACTGTCCCACATCCCTCAGAGCCCTGTCTTCATTAAGCTGGACTCTGATTACCTAAATGTTTAAAGAACAATGTACCTCTGCAAAAAGATTTATTCACCCTAATTCTTGATCATTGTTTATATTGTCCTTAACATTTCCTGGAAAGTTGCATTTGAACAGACACTTGATAAGGAACTGGAGCTTGTAATGCAGAAGAGACCGTATGTGCTGAAGACTTGTTAAAAACACTAGTTTCTGATCTTTTTGGTATTTTAAGTGTTTGCCTGACAGACTGGTACTGACCTCAGACTGGTTCGTGTGGGAAAGCAATTGGGGTGAGAGAAGAGGTAAAAGGAAGCTTTACTCAAGTAGGGAGAGCATGCAGAACATGGATGTAGAGTTGCAACCTTGTGAAGATTTGCAGAAGAGCATTTGTTTCTCTAATCAGGGAAATACTTGTGCTGCCTGACCCTCTTTCATAGTTCTTGGTCTTTGTTCCTGGACTGAGCAAGAACATGGTGTTTTGAGTCCAAGAAATTAACTTCATTCTTCCTGGGAATATGTCTTCAGACTTGACTTAAAGAATATGCTTTCCTTTGGGTGCTGTTCTGCTCAGGCTGCAGCACATCTTTCAGCTCAGCACTGTTAGTTTGGCTCTAGGTATCTCCTCTTTGCCCTCCTCCCATTTCCTTAGAAAACAAGGCTGAGGAGGAAGCCTGCTCAGACTGAGAATCAGAATTCTGTCCTGCAGCCTTTCTGTGGTAATCATGTTTTAAGTCAGTGATGAGCCTTCTGTGAAGGAGGATGGTGGGATCAGGGCCTGTCAGTGGTCAGACTCAATCTCCTTTGTGACAGAAGAGAGCCTGCTGGTAGGAAGGCAGTGTGCTTGGTTTGGATGTGACTTGTGTCTGGGGCCAGGGGTACTTGGGCATATCTGTCTTCACAGTTTCCCTGCACCACACGTGGCCTCTTCTCTCAAACATCCTGTGGGTGGCAGCTGCTGTTCAGTTGTCTCACATCTAAATCAAGTCCACGTACTTTTGTACTTGTAGTTCAAATCCCTTCTTAGCCTGAATGGGAACAGGACTCTGTCAGAGCAGTTGGCAATATGCTGCCTTCTGCTTGGCAGCATTTTTCCTCCCATTTCTGCTCCTTTCATAAACACCTCGGGTCTAAATACATTTCTGCCTGTCTAAATGACTCTGTGTCCTTTCAGTTGGTCAGTCCTAACTCTGAAAGTAAAGGTGAACTTCAGTGGTTTTGTCAAAGCTTGAATCTGCATGGAATAGAAAATAGAGAGTTGGTTGTAAGTGACAGACTGGTTTTGTTGACATGTCTCTAGGCTTTCTAAGACTGTAGTGGTAGCAAACGTGGTAGCTTGTGTTGGTGATGTGGAGGTTTCCTGCCCCTCGCCCCACCAGCTCCCAGTCCCAGGAGCCAACGGTTTGCACATTGCCCTGGAGGGGCTGGCTCAGCTCTTGGGTGCCCTTGTGTTGGAGGGGTTCCTGCACCTACCCTTCTGCTTTGCCCAGCCCAAAAGGCATCTTGCTTGATCTCACTTGATCCGAGGAGAGGCGGTTTTTGTTGGCGGTTACCGAAGCACCCCGGCGGTAACGCAAGCTCCTTGAGAGGGTGGCTCTTGTCTTCTTTTAAAAAAGGTTTTTAGCACCAGGATAGTAATGGAAACCACTTTAGGTTTGTTTATGGACCACAAAGATTATGGAGGAACAAATTTTGCCTTTTTTTTTTTTTTTTTAATAAGTCTAAGAATCATGGATCTGCTGTATGTAGTTAACTTGCAGTTTGTCGTAAGGGGTCCCATCAGTGAAGTGGAAACAGATTTTTTTAACTGACTGCTTTTAGTTAAATCTAAAATTGCTGTCTTTGTCAAGTTAATCTGTTCCCTGCCTCGCTCTTTGTAAGCATGTTAAACAATCCACATTAAATGCCATAAATATGAAATACAAGGAAATGGTACAATCGTAAGCTAAAAGAGAACTTAAACCAAAAGGAGGTTTTGCTGTCCTTATTAGAATGTTCTAAAATGTCAAGGCAGTTGCTTGTGTTTAACTGTGAACAAATAAAATGTATTGTTTTGCACTACTCTGTGTGAAATTCCCTGCAAGCCTCAGGCAAAACTTGCTTCCAGATTATTGAGGCTGGTGATCTTCATTATTTCATCTCTCTGAGCTTGACTTGGAGAAAAGTTTCCCGGCGTTTCCCGGCTGTGGCCACTAGAGGCCCCACGAAGCTGGTCCCTTCCCTCTTCGGCTTCGATCCCATTTTTGGGACGCAGCTTTCCCCCTCCTGTGACTCACCCCCTCTCCTTCCCTGAGGAGCCACCTGACACTTGATCTGGACCCATCATCCTCTAGGTGTGTGAGTCGCTGGAACCAGATGTTTAACTCCCGGAGTATTTTGCCCTGGTTACAGGTTGCCAAAAGCCTGGTTTGACCCTTAGCTGAACCTAGGGGAGCACAGAGGTAATTTACAGCCTACAGACAACAGGATTCTATTGAGATCAGCTACTCCCAGCCTTTATTTCTATTTGTCTTTGAATGAAAAAGCAGCCTGTATTTCCTGGACCTGCTGACAGATCTCTAGGTAAGTCAGTTTGAAGCCCTGCTTGGCTTCTCAGTGTGCATCTTGCAGTTTTATGCTCACAGAGGCTGAAGTAAAACTTTCTTGCACTTCTGTGTTTGGCATTTACATCCTGTTTATGTAAATTCTTCAAACAGCTTGATTTGTAGTAGAGAAAAACAATTCTTGCTGTATCTTTTTGCCTTTTGAAGTGCCCATCCACTCTGGAAGAGGAGAACTTGTATGGAAATTAAGTAATTTGTCTAGATGTTTTTGTGAGATTTAACTTTGCAGTCTTCCAACAGATTCTGGTCACGTCACTACCAAACCTCAGGCTGCAAGTTTTATGCACTCACTTTTCTGCTTTTGTCTTAACATTTTGGCAGTGTAAGACTGATTGAAAGGATAGGGCTAGGTTAGAAATTGTTGTTAAGTTTTGGGAACTGTGCTGCTTGTGTGTATCACAGCCTTTGCCAAGTATGAATGGACAACAATCCAACCTTGTATTCCATGTTTCCATGGAATCATGAAATGATCTGAGCCACCAGGGTCTGGGAGGTGGTGGACTGGGTTTGATAGGACTGTTCTGCCAAGCATTTTGTGCTGTGCTGTACCATGGAAGCTGAAAGTGAACTACAAACTGGCTAATTTTGGTCTTACCAGAGCCTGCATGTTCAAATTTAAACTGTATGACAAGGTGGGGAAGGTTGGAAATGAGGTTGTGTCCCCAGCACTTGTCATGTCTTAATCCATATAGCATGTACTTGTTCTGAAAAACTTCCCAGGACAGCAACTGTCATTGCAGACTTGTCTTTGCAATGTGAAACACCCCAGGGCAGCTGTGAGGAGCTTGGATTTCTCTGCCTGAAGCTGCCTCTGCAGCAGGGCTCTCCAGTAGAGCCTGAGAAGGTGACAGTAACAACCTGCTGGTCCATGGCCCCAGCAGTGCCTGGGAGCCTCTGTGTGACCCTGGCAGCTTTGTTACCACTTCGAGTTCACCCAGGTCCAATTCAGAGGTCTCCTAAAGGCTTCTATCCAGAGTGGCTACATGTCTGGAGCAGCAGCACCCGGGCACAGGGAGAGGGGAAAAAAACTGCCAAAGAAGCTTGGCAGTATGTGGGGAATACAAATGCTCCTGAAAATACTTCCCATTTCATCTGAGTTATTCCTTTTTGTGCATTTGTATTAATTCTCCTTTTTTTGGCAGCTTGTTACCAAAATCTGGACATCTTAAGGCAAAAGCTTTCCCATGATTTTAGCAAACTGAGCCAGGTATGCCAGGGGAAGTTGTTTATTCAGGAGTGTTCCAGCAGGAAGCAAAGAACAGGAGCTAACGTGCCTGTGGGAGGGGAAAAGAGCAGTCAGACACAGGGAAGACACCGTGTTATTGAGATCTTAAATTTGTAGTTATCAGTGCTTGAATAAAAGCACCACCAAAAATGTGTATCAGCTCCCGAGAATGGGGAGAGCCTGTGGCTCTGCTGAGCTTCCCCATGCAGGCTGGAAACAAAGCTGTGTTCAGGAGGGTGTGGAGTCACTGTGCTGGAATTGCAGTGTTGGTATAAAAGCAGCATGAGACTTTTTCAAACACTTTGCAATTTTAATGAACTAAGCCTCATCCTTGAGAGCTAGGCAGGCTGGGTTCTCATCTCGGGAAAACACAGACATTTGGACTTGCAATTTGAAAAGGAACCACCTGACAATGGCCACAGCTTCCACAGTCTCTGCTCTCACCAGATTCCCACAGATCTCATCGACTGGAAATGACTTGCTTAGTTTTGCAGCCCTCTGGGGGGGCACAGGGGTGTTTTATTCAAGTTTGTCAGTACACCAAGCCAAGTGCAAACTGAAGTTTGTCCTCCTTTAAAGGACAGCAAAGGAGTCAAACAGATGTAAGGGAAGATGTTCCGAGTGGTGTCTACTGGAAAGGTGTGAGAACCTGCAAGAAGGAGGCAGCAGAGCACAGTTGGTGCAGCTGAAGCACTCTGGCTAAGGGAGACACTATTAGTGTCCTGCAGGCTTTGATTTTTTTGGTCCAAATAACCAGGAAATTCCAGTGGGCTGAGGGAACTTCAGGCAGAAACCTAAATCTTTACACAAACATCTGAATCCCTCATGAGAGGCCTTTGCTGCTCTGCATCGTGGCCTTCAGACATGCAGGTTCTTCCCACCTCTGGCTTGGGCTGGTGAGTGGGTGTTCCTCTGGAAAAAGTGTGGGAAAGTGTAAAATTCCTTTTCAAGGAGCTTGCCCCAGATTCGTGGCTGAGTGATTAGAACCCAACTACTTCTGACTACACCCTGCTGGTCAAAGGGACCAGCTGCAGTGCTACAGCTATTTCTGATGGGATACAACTCTTAAGGAGGAGAGTGGGGATATGAGTAAGGGAGAATGTATCTGTCCATGCTGGTTTACAGGGCTGTCTTCAGGAAGTGGACTCGGGTAGGAAGGATCTGTAGTGGTTTTTTCATTGCCTGTAATCAGCCACTTAATCCTAGGTGGTAAGCAGAAGATGTATGAGCTCTGATCCATTAAAAGGGATGTTTACCCGGTGGTTTCCAGGGAGCCTTACGTTGCCCACTGTGACTTCCTGTGTCTTTCAGTTGCTTTTTCTGGACATTCTTACTGTCCTGCACTTTCACATTAACTTCATTTTTAGCTGTGCTCTGAGCCTCCAGGTGCTTAGCAGGTGGTGTCTGGGAAGAGGCTGCCCTATCTGGTGCATCCTGGGGTGCCCCCTTGTCAGAGGCACCACTTCCACCACTCACATTGCGCAGCTTGTGCCATGTCAGCTTCTCCATGTGGGTGACCCACTCCTTGACACAGTCCAGCACGATGGGGATGAGGCTCACCACCCCTCCGTAGCGGTTCCTGGCTTCCTCACAGCTCAGGTGATTCACAACATCGTGGGGGTATCTGTGGGACAGAAGGAGGCAACTGGCAGAGTAGTCCCTGCAGTGCAACCCCCACAGCATCACTCTGAGAGCCCCTGGGGAGAGTGGAAACTCACAACAGCCTCCTCCCCAAAACAAAAAGGCAGGGATACGGTTGCAGCTTGAGAAATGGGTCCTGCCAAACACTCCATCCCAGCAGTGGGGGCAGGTCTGGAAGGGTTCAAGAGCTGGTGCAGACACTTGACCCACAGGAATTAGCTCCATGCAGAGTGGGAGGAGGAGGCAACTGCTGAAGCACAGTGTGGGACTTCAGGGCCCCAACACATGTGCAGTAAAATGAACAATAAACAAACAGACCCCCTTTCTTTGGTGACTGGAGGCTGCAATGTCTTTCCAACAGCTGGAACAGTAACCTGGGGGGTAGCACCTTGTACCCTCACTGAAGCCAGAAAGGTGGTGTAGCAAACATGATGGAGAACTCAGGTGGGAATATACATTCCCATGACAGTCACCTCACAGAAATTCAGGTGATGGAGACACCCACCTAGCTCGGAGGGGGCTGAGGTCATTGCTGTGGCTCAGGAGCAGTTTGCATCTCTCCAGAAGATGGTTGGTTATGTTGTTACCAGAGTGCACAGTTTCCAGCTGGTAGCAGAGATTTCTTAGGTCATCACAGATGTTGAGGAACATGCTGAGGATACGCCTATCTGTGGAGTTGTGACAGTAATGGTGAAGGTAGGACTGTACCTGTACAGGGAGGACAGTGGTGCACGTTAAATTACATGTCACTTGTGCTGCAAAACTTCCCAAGTTAGTGATCGAGAAGCTGCTGCTTCTTGTGGGTCTGCAGCCGTGAGCCAAGAAGGACCCTGCAACACCCTGGCAGGTAGTGAGATCTCTAGAGCATGTCTGAGATGGTTGCTTCTCATTCCTTGTGCCTGAGAAAGGCTGGGATGATGGATCTGCCTATCAGCACAGCAGAGAGCCTTCCTCCCTCTTTGTGTTGGAGCATGGCAGCCAAACTCCAGCTCTGCTGCAGGTGCTGCAGAACCAGGCTGAGCAGGAGGGGAAGTTTTTCTGCCTGCCCTGAGCAAGGCACCCACTGCCATGGCTGCCCAGGCAGAGCAGGGTGGGAGAGGAGGGCAGCAACCAGCCTGGGGCTGCTCTAGAGTGATGTGTTTGCACCATGTGTTCCTCCCAGTTCTTTTATCTGGCACCTCTAGTTGTGACTGCAAACCAAACCCATTTAACCTAAGTTGTCCTTACTAACCTGTCAGAGCAGGGATCTTCCCTGTTTGCCTTGAGCATTTCTGCTGCTCAGAATGAACAGCCTTGCATGACAAAACATTATGCCAAGAGATTAAGTGTCTTCTCCAAAGAAATTACAGGCACTTCAGCCACGAGTGGTCAGAATATAAAGTACTGAGGGGCTGGTTGGCAGCTGGGGCTGGACTCTAACACCTTCAGTGCTTTCTGTAAGATTTCAAGACAAGAATGAAGTAGCTGTTCCAACAGCAGAGCAGTTCCTGCATACAAAAAAAGCCACGGGATGTGCTTGGGCAAATTCTCAGCAGGTTTGTAAGAAAAATAAAAAATGGCCCCTAAGGGTCCATTTCCACTACAGATTCCTCCTTCCACACTGTTTGCTGAGCGTTGTGTCCTTGTGCGTGGCAGGATTTTTTATTGCTGCTGTGAGCAGCAAGAGTCCTAAAGAGAATAGAGTTTTGGCCTGGATATCCACCAGTGGGATAACAGGACTTCTGTTTGTCCACATAAACAACAGTTAATGCACCTGAGTGACCAAGATGGGGACCAGGACTAATGGGCTGGGGGGCTCGCACAGGCTGCCCAGCTCTGCCTCAGGGAACTGCTGGTTCTGGAGCTGCAGGCAGGGGAGTTCACAGGCAGCCCCTGTGCTGGGATGTCCTGCCCAGTGACTTCTGGGGGTGATAGGAATCTCTGGCTGAGGCAATGACTGAGGAGATTGTCTCACAAACCTGCTTGGGACTTGACATTGTGCCCTTCAGGAGTCGTTGCTGTTGCCTTTCATGTTCTTTTCAACCTTTCCACCTCACTATGCTCTCTTCCCTGAGAAATGTCAGCACCAGACCCTCCAGAGGCTGCTGCATCCAGCTCTCAGAGGCTTAGAAATGCAGCCATGTTTCCACCTAGGTGCAATGTAATTTTTTTCCCCTGTAGTTTCTATGTTTCCGTGCCAAGAAAGCTGGCAGGCAAGGCAGCTGCAGGCTGAGAGCACATACTTCTGCCTTTGTTGCTTTTCTTGTGCCCTCCCATGCAAAATTAAAAACAGGGTCAGGCTGATGCAGGAGAAGGGTAGTGAAAGAAAATGGATGCCCAGTTTTGTCCCCAGTGAATTTCCTTGGTAGTGGTTCAGTTCCTGCACAACCTGTTACCTGAATGTGCTGTACCAGTTTTCCCTGTTTTCCCCAGTAATTTGCTCTTTTCCCTCTCCCTTGTCCCCCTGGGATGACATGGTTGTCCCCCCAGGGCTCTCCCTGCTGGATTTGTCACCACCATGGATCAATGTAATTGCTGAAGTCGTTACCTCCAAGGCTCCACCCCCACAACCAGCAGACCTTCCACCCCTGCTGAGGAGCAGAGCCCAAGCTTTCTCTTGCCACTATATCAGTGAAGTATTGGCACTTTTTAAACCAGCATAATGTTATCTAAAATCTCAGTGCCTATTTCTGGAAAAAACATGGTTCAGTCTAATGTCCATCTCAGTCCTCAATGTTGTGAGCAAAGCCCTTCTATGAGAATTGAGTCAGCCCTTAGAAAAGACAACCAGCCCTTCTGTGTCCTAATCCTAAGAACAGCTTGGCTTTCACTCCTTTGGCATCCATCTGGGTTTTGTGCCCGGGTTCTACTGCCTCAAATCCACAATTCTAATTTTATTTAGATTCCTTTCCCCTCAGTCTGCAGGTGGTCTAAGTTCTTCTCACTACTTAAAACATCCCATGTTATAAAAATTCCAAGACAATTCACTTACCAGCCCAGAAAACCCCTTGGCCCACAGGGGACTTTCAGCCCTCAATCCATCATCCTATCTCAGTAACACAGCCATTATTTTTAATAAGCACTATAGAAAGATACAGCAGCTCCAATACCAGGGGGAAGAGGCAAGCAGGCTGGTTACTACAAGTTAAGGATTACAGATTCCATGTGTGGCTGGGGAAGGAGGCTTGGTTTGATTGTTTTCTTGTACCCTGTATTTCTGGCTGTGCCTCAGCAGTGAAATGATGGTATTAAACCAAATCATAAAGTGCTGCTCAGCAATAACATCCCTTCTCTGTAAGTGGCAAAGGCAGAGACACCCCCTCTCCCTCCCTTCACCTTTTGCCACTGGTTTTGCACAGTTATACACAAACCTTAGAGAGCTTTTGTGCACCTTCCCTTAGTAAAACCAAACATTGATTCAGCCCTGAACTGGACCCAGGTGGGTGACAGCAGTTTGCTGGTCCCTGCTGGTGCTGGCAGGGAGCTCTGTGCTGGCTGCTCTGTACCTGGTCGATGCTTGCCACAGGTCTGAGCATGTCATGTGCATTCTCCCGGGTGTGTTGCAGGGCTCCAATAAACGTGAACTGCTGCTGCAGGAAGAGCTTGTACTTCTGCTCTATGTTTCTTAGAGCGTTCTTTACTTCATCCATGTTTCAGCCCCTCCTGGATTTTGGGAGAGAAGGAGAGAAAGGAAAGTAGTTTGTTGGGTTTTGTTGGTTGTTTTTTTTTAGAAAGGGTGCAATTCTGCACATGTAACTCTACATTCCACCTGAGCTGGAACTGTGTAGTTAGTGGAAAACTTGAGAAAAAAAATAAAAGGAAGAGGGAAGATGGATTGTGTCAAAGCTTTGCAGTCCCAGAGCCCCAGACAGTAAGTCAATGAGGCAGTAACAACGCTGCAAAAAGAGGCAGAGAACTCAGAGGGGAGCACTGACAATCAGATGCCATAAACCCTAGTGGGTCTATTGTAAAGATAATGTGGCGATGCATCAAACACGGCGCTGCGGGAGCCGGGGGA